CATGTAGCGTACTACAGACAGTCTTGTAATAGATGTCTTACAATGTAACATTCGAAAACATTTTTTTGATATGACAAATAATTATAGGACAGAAATAGACTGTATAGATTACGATCTCTAACTAGTACTCATCAGGCCAAATAAATACTCAAAACGTAGGACTACTGGAGAATAAAAAACTCTATCGAAATATCTTACTCGATATCTTGATTTAATACGTCATAAGATGAAAACTAACCAGAAACTAATGAAGATAGATTAGTGGAGATATTTTAATGTAATCAGGGCTGTTCACTCAACCACAGGGAGTCTGATTAATTTTTTTAGAGGCTCTATGGCATTTGTTTATTGTCAATTGTAGCTTGCTTCATATATTGTTACCTAACTTAGAGTCAATGTTTTTAATGAAAAGAAGTAATACAAAACTGTGGGAAGTTATAAATAAAAAATAATGATGTTGTACTACCCAAATCTCTTTATAAATCGATCAGGAGATACAAAGAGAGATGATGTAGTGTATTCAAAAGAAACCCCAGATTTAAATGAAAAAAAGATTGAAAATTAATCGTCAGTGTAATATTGATATATAAGGTAAACATGTTCAAATATTATTGTTCACGAAAACTTCTAAGTTAAATGGTCAAACAATGAATAAAACTCAAAAAGAAGGTAACCGGTTTTGATTGTTAAAAGATTTTCGACAAATTGGTTTTATGACAACACCTTTTGGAAGTAAAAATTGATTGATATTGTTTGAACGTTTTTTAAGTAGTTGATTCAATAATCAATCATGAAACTTTTGTTAGAATTTGTTAATAACTCAACAAGTACTCCTATCTCTTTGAAGTAGTGTATATTCAAAGTTAAAAGTAAAAAATCGACTGTTATAATTTATCATATACTGGAATGAAAATTTGTCTGAAATGACTCTGACGATAGTTACCAGACAAAAAGAAAGTATTTTCTGGTGATATGTTGCATTTATACTTTCCTAATATAGTCTGTGAAACTGATTCTAAAAGTTATAATAGGTTAACACTTAGTGAATAGTTTAATTTGTTACAGAGAGTAAGTAAACAATTCATAATTTATCATAATGTTGCCAACCTACTAATATATTGTCAGTAGTTCACAATTCAATTTAGTAATCTGTGTATCACTCACATTGATCAGATTAAATCTACATGAAATAATAATTTATTCGGAAGATATTTACAGAATGCATTCTGATTTACAGGTATAATTAGGTTAACGTGAAAAGAAGTACTGCTTGTAAGGGTTAGATGTATGACTGCAGAGTCCAAATGATACAGTTTATATATATCGTTTTGGGTAGACATTTATCACCAGGTAGCAGTTGGGAACAGTTAATTATTAATGGAGGGATTAGGACTTCCTGTTGATGGATAAATATGGTTATTTCTGGTTCCATTAGAGAGTAACTGTAGTCATCTTCGACTAGGAGAAAATGAAAACTGAAAGCACGACAACAAAGAAAAATTTATGGTGGTTGGTTTGTCGTTACACAAGTTCTAGGTTGTTTGGTGATCAACCAGTTTAGATAGATTCTATTTAAATTCATTAACCTAACAGGCATAATATAGGTGTAGAATAGATACAAGAAGGTATTATTAGCAATTATGCTCAGTGAAAACAATATTCAGACATTTAATGTACATATAACTCCTCCAGTTGAATGAGTTACATATTTGAAGGCAGCTTCAGAGAATAGGTAATAAGTGATCATAGTGACTTTATTTTGCCGGCAGACTTCAATAAATTATCCCAATCTCGCAAATTTACTTGAATGGAGTTTAAGCATGATCTAGTGATTTGATCAAATACAGTTAGTATACGGAAAGAAGTCATGCCTGTCTTAAGTTCCAACCAGGGTGTGTAGATTATCCCAGTCTACATGTTTGTAATCCAGATACAACCTAATTTTGTTCAGGAGGAATTTCAGAGGATTAAATAGTAATAGGTATAGTACTGGCAACTATTCTACGGTCGCTGCCTTTAGAATCTTCGTTTACTTGTACAGAAAATGAAATAATATCTCTACTGCAAGTCTGAAATGTTATTATATCTTGTTGGGGTATGAACCCGTTGAGAACAGCAGTGCTTGTAAAGTGTTGCTAAGACTCCATCATCACACGACTGATTACTAACATTATTTTAGTTTATACTAGAACAACTAGTCTTCTACAGTGATTTTCGTATTGAAATTCAGAGCCGAGATATATAAAAATGCATTAGTTGAAGTGGCTGGAGCTCTGTATATACAACTCAGAAGTAAACTATAGTTCTAGGTGTTAAACGGGATCCAGATTAATGTAGGTGAACTTCTGAGAACATTTACGTTCATCATATTGTCTGAATGTCAATCTAGTGCCTATATTAGCTAGACGCCTATACGTTTACTTTCGTTTTTACAGCGATAAAGCACGTAGTTCTGAATATTTTAACTCGGGTCAAAAACTAAAAAACAACGGCATGATTTTGGGACGATTATGAAAGACTGTTCGTTTGTCAGGCTAAAGTCCTTAAGTCTGAAATTGGATTTAAAGAGGCTGGCTTGTATTAATAAGTTAGAAAAGGAAGTATCAAGTGCAAAATGCTGATAAGATTCTTACTGACCTAATGAATTTTAACCATGGCAAAACTGTTATTTAGTTCCGAAATTGGGCTGTTTGATTATTTCGACATAAAGTTATAAAATCTATCTGTCAGATGAGTAGTGCTTGCTAAGTAGTTTAAGATCCATGAAGTTGGATATTCGATAAAATTCCTAAACTTCGTACATTACTCATCCTGAAAACGAATACGAAGCGTTGATTACGTTTATTATTGTACCACACCTATCACAAAACGGCAGGTATACCAAATGAAAGTGGGGCGCGAATGAATAGGATTAAAATGTATATATATATATATATATATATATATATATATATATAGTAAAATGAATGAGTCACCCAATTATTTAGGCGACCACCATTAAAGCTAATTTAATGAATATGTGAGTAGGCGGCAACAAGGCGACAATAATATAAAAGAACCAATGTATAGACAGTATGTTGCTGTTCGAATAACGCTAAAGGGCTTAACCAAAATAAATGTAAACAAACTCGAAAGTGTGTTAGGTGCTATAGATCCCATCTTTTGTGTGTAATCGGTAGTGTGAAAAAGAATTTTATAGCCTCTCGTAGATTTTTTTTAGGATGATAGTAGAACTATCATCATTGGAGTTGGGAGTTTATGGCCTCATTCTCATCCTATTTTGTTCCTGATAGTAACAGCTTATGCTATAATATATATTAGATTGTATTTGCATTTGTTGTTGCGTGTGCAATAGAAGAACCAGATCATCTGCAAAGTTCAGATCATCTAGCCGCATCCTGTTTGTTCACTTTTAGTTTTGAATATTTAAAATTGACCTGTCAGAATGGCTTTTATGTACTGAATCGTTCATCAAATTTCATAGAAAATGTTTTTCCAAATGAGTGCAAGCGATAAGCATGAAGAATTAAAACAAAATAATGAAACGTTTGTTCATTTACATCTTTTATACAAACTACCTTAAGTATGTATCAGATAAATCACTTATGGCTGCAACAACGACTAAAATACATGTTCTCATTTATTTTGGCATAGTTTATCGACTAGATACTTACTTGCTTACTTACTTACTTACGCCTGTTACTCCCGATGGAGCATAGGCCGCCTACCAGTTTTCTCCAACCAACTCTGTCCTGGGCTTCACTTTCCAGTTCTGTCCAATGTTTGTTCATTCCTCTCATATCTTTCTCTATTTCGCGGCGTAATGTATTCTTTGGCCTTGCTCTTTTCCTTTTGCCTTGAGGGTTCCATGTGAGGGCTTGTCTCGTGACGCAGTTAGGTGCTTTTCGTAGTGTGTGTCCTATCCACTTCCACCGCTTCTTCCTCAATTCCTCATCCACTGGAATCTGGTTTGTTCTCTCCCACAGTTCGTTGTTGCTGATCGTGTCTGGCCAACGAATACGAAGTATTTTGCGTAGACAGCTGTTAATAAACACTTGTATCTTCTGGATGATGCCTTTCGTAGTTCGCCATGTTTCCGCTCCATACAGTAGAACTGTCTTGACATTTGTATTGGAAATCCTGATTTTGGTTTTGGTTGAAAGTTGTTTGGAATTCTTATCGACTAGAATTATATCAGTAAATTAGTTAATTGTTGAATGAACTTCTATAAGCCATTTGCCGGAGGCAGTTTGTGAATTTCCTAGATCTGAAGTTTCTAAATTTTCTTAATCAATTAGTAATCATAGTTTTATGTGTTCAAAACAGTACGAACTGGATTTTATTACCAAGTAACGAGTAGTGCGAAATAATTCGACTAAAGATCATAATGATATACTTTAATAGATCATTCGAAATGACATTACATTGTACAATGTAGTAACCATTGCTAAGTAATGAGTAGCATTAACGACTAGGATATTTTGTATCAATCTGCATTCATACTAATATCAATATATTCCATTGATGAAAATGTCTTAAATTAAGAACGTTATATTACAGCAACTGAAATAGACATAGGACTCAATAATAGATATTACAATAATTTCAAAATGTTTACAATCTATTGATAAGTTTCTGATCTGTCACTCATTGGTCCAGTGTTTGTTTCCATTATTTATTAGTTTTCCGAATGATTTAATACTCCCTATTTTTCAGTGGGATATATTTCTAGAAATAAATACTCAAAATAATCAAAATTGGCCTACAAATACACTTGAAACACCAACGATACTATGATCTTACAATGACTCCTGGCTCAAATTTTACAGCGCATAAAAACTAATTCAATCTCTTGGTGTTGATGTTTGAAGAAATATTAACAAACCAACAAAACTATATAAGTATTCAATGATATAATGGAATAACACCTTTAAATACTGTTAAATTCTAACAAACAAGTCATTTTCATAATTCCTAATTTTTAGGAGAAAATATTCTGAATGTCTGAAGTACCTCTTGAGTATGTAGACAATGCGTTAAAAGTATTTTATCAGTGTGATTTAGTGAAAAATGATTCATCCTTTGAACAACAAGCCAGATGTGTTTTATCCACCGTCGTCTCATTTTGGTGTGGATATATTCTACCTATATTTGGTTTCATTACTGTAATAACAAACTTATATATCGGATTTTATGCTATTTTAAGGGCACGTAAGGTGCCTAGACAAATAATTTATATTTCCGGAATATGCTTGTCAAGTGCAATAGCCAATATTATGTTTGTATGGTTATGGCAGTTTCCAGTGCGTGGTTTACCTTTTGTATCACATGGAACTATATTTTTTTCAATATTGAATATATCACCAACAGCTTGTCGCCTTCAGCGTTATTTGTATGCATTCAGTGCAACAATGATGTGTAATATGCATGTATGTGCTTCATTAGACAGATGCTTACTCGTATACATTCCAACCAAAATGAAACGTTTACCAAACTTATATGGATGGTATATTCACATTGGTGTATTATTATTAAGTGGAGTAATGATGATCCCGTTTATAATGGGAGTTGACTGGCGTCTGGTTGGCGGACGTATTCTCTGCTGGGTAGATTTAAGTGATCAGTATGTACAAGGTTATCACACATTATTTTCAAATTTAGGACTTATTCAAACAATCTTCTTATTAGTAATTGATTTATCATTTTTATTAAAAGTACGTCAACAACTACGTAAGCATTCATTAACTAAATTGAATTCAACTGACAGAAAGCATATCCGACGTTCAGTGCTCTTATTTGCATCATCGATTTCTTTTAGTATTATGGCATTATGTCAAGCGGTGTTCTATTCCATGGCACGATTCAGTTCGACAGCCGTTGGACAAACTGGTGTTGATTATGATATAGGGGATTTTTTCTGGTATTTGAATTCCGTACGAGAATTATTGGATATATATATTTATTTCAAGTGTTTTAAATTACTTCGTGACAGTTTATTGTGTACTCCTCGAAGGTTATCTAAAGGATCGTTGTCTAGATCTGATCAATCACGAATTTCTGGAAGCTAGTAGTAGGTGTTAAATCAACCGTAATATCCATATTTATAAAATCTTATTTCTTTATTACTAGAATGCATATCTAATGAGTTCATCTGAAGACAAATTTAGTTTTATTTACTATTTTAAAAACTGAATAACTAAATGAATTAATACATTTTTTGGTAATCAGTGAAGCTGGTAATTGCCAAACGTTTTTTTGATAAGAATGATTGATTTTAAAATATTGTTAGCTTATTATCTTATTATGTTATCTATCTTTAACGTTGTATAAAAATACAACAACTCGTTTACCTGTATTGAATACTACTATTACTACTTCGAAATGTGCCAATTCTTATTTTTTTTGTCCGTTTTTTATTAAATTACATGTTTGCTTACATAAGAAATTTATTTTTAAAAAAATTACTACCGACATGAAGTTTAGTTTGTTCCAATAGCATTAGATTTAATAATCAAATCCATATTGTCTACTTGAGTGATGCATCACTCACACATTATACAAATTCAAATCAATTTTTATCATTTTGTTTTATTGGTTATGTCAAAATTCAATCCTTACTTATTTTTCCCTATTTCTATTCTTAGGTTGCACAAATGACATTTTTCATGTATATTGTTGGCTTCAACATAATTGTAGCTGTCTTTTCGATACATGTGATAAACCAGAAATTTATTGGGTAGAATGTTAATGAGAAAGATTAGCTAAGAATTGAACAAGAACTGCCATTGTTGTCTATCAATAATTCTGGAGAGTATGTATAAGGTTAGTATTTGAATAATTCTATTAGACGGCTGAGTGACGTTTTGTCAGTTAGATAAAGACCACCGGTCATATGATGTGTGCTATTTTTAATCATCAATAAGTTATTCGAACAAACCTGTCTCATTCATACTCAGCGTGAATCATTCACTTAAGTTGTTGTTGTTGTTATTGTTGTCTATCGTAGATGATTAGTTTAAAAGAAAAACAGTAGGTTTTATTACGTTATTTAACCTTACGTATGAACAGTTTTTGGGCTTCGTATTCACATCTTAAAGCAAAAATTATAGATTTTCTTATATATATATATATATATATATATATATATATATATCATTGCTATACTTTTCATCATTGACCGATACCATTTGCTGGATCACCGGAATCCAGAAAGTACTGAGAATGTATTTCAAAGACTACTTCAGATTCATACAGCAAATGTCCAACGTTTACTACCTTTGAATAATTTCCTAACGAAGGTCAGTCATTAAAATAATTACATTCAAGTTTTTGTATCTCTGCAAACCAGTTTACTGTAAAATATGTATTGACAAGCTAATTAGTTTAATTAATGGTCAATGATAAAAGAAATGTGCAAAAATACATTCTTCCTTTCAGTATAACTGAAGGCATGAGAAGTTCAGCTGGTACTTCGATTTTGAATGTATAAATTTTAAAATGGTAAACATATCTGCAGTGAGTTTAAACAAAAAATACTGATTAGATTTTTGTGAAATAGAAACCTGTTAAGCACTATGAAATCAAAATTACATACGAAATGCCAATCATTAGAAAAAAATTCGAAAAATCCAACTTGTAGGAATCAATAACCTTTTTACGATTATCATCATTTTCGCCCATGTTTTATTAACAAGCTATTCTCTAAGCGGACTACAATCATCATAATACTTGTGAAGCATCTATAACATATATTATTACGTATCTCATTTACAATTACCATAGTACGGTGTTATGTAAAGCCAGCTGTAAATAAATGTATCCCCTCTGAACGTGGTAACCTTTAAATGTGGAAATCGAACATCTCATCTCACTTAACAAATCGTTTGCTCATTCGTGACTTATCTTAAGGTGGATTTCTGACATTCATAATTTAAAAGCTTTCTGACTACTTTCCACAGTCACGTAGTCTTTAGTGATAATGACCTTGGAAAACGGTTTACTTAATTGATTTACAGCAGTACGGATAATTGTTGAAACCATACCATAACTTTATCTATTATTATTAAGTGTGTTAAGAGCCAACTGGCAGAAAAGCAATTAAGAACATAGAATATCTTCGTTATAAATCATATTGTGCAGAAATTACATCAGCTATACTCTTGTACGTATCCTGACAATCAGCTTAATCTCTCTAGATCTGATTCATTTAAAAACTGTCTGACAGTCATTTTCCATTCACATTTATTTCAACTTTAGTTAACTTTCTGTCGTCGTATCTGTACACGTGTTAGATATCGTTATCGTGTTGACATATTTCTAATTGATTAATACATTCATCTTGTAGAGACAGTGTACATCGGAACATTGATAAATTAAGAGACTACTGTCTTTTCTACAGTTAGAATTGATACTCCGTAAACCAAACAACAGATAATTATTAGTTGGTTCTGCACCCACCTTGATAAATGGATGTTATGGATTGGATATATGCTAGTTAGGAAACAATGTTTAACAATAATGGATCGATTTTTTACTTCTAGATTAGTCAAATTTAGGACAGCTTTTTTAAAGTAAAAACTCACTTTACTGGCTTTATTTACAGAACAATCCATAACTCAGTTTAAAGTCTGTCATAAAACACATGTAAAACTATAGGTTTTAGAATTTTATTCTTTCTGTTCGATGTAGTTTTTATAGCAAGACCTGAAACATTTCGACCGGTTTATTTCCAGTTATAAGAAAATATAAACATTAAAGTTGTCCTTATAGTAAATAGTGATAATTAAACGTAAAACAACAAGGCCACTAAAGAACACCATTCGAATGCGAATAATACCACTCAAGATTTTCAGCGGCTTTTGGTTGGACTTTCATTTAAACAAACGATAAAGCATTCCATAAATATACAACTTCCGCTTAAATCTGTTTAACACACAAAGGCTAATCCTATTTGAGCTACGGCCGTGATGTGAGGTTGAATTCCGGTTCATTTTGATGAATTTATTTCGTACGCTCATCTACACAAACAGACGGTAAGATAAGAAGCATGGAAGCCAAGCGAAGAAGGCAAGCATGATAACTGCATCTTATCAAACAGACGAAAATAGAGACATGACGAATAGAGTATGCCGTACACACGGTCAAATAGAAATATAAGCGGACAGTTAACAAGGTCAAAATCTAACTCACAGAGAATAAATAAATTGGTTATCCTAAAGGCTAGAATAATTGATGCAGTAGCAGTAGTAGTAGACATTATCGATTTTATTATGTTGATGTTAAAGTAAAACGAATGAACTCCAGCTTATTCGCCAAGTTCAAAGTAATCATGTCATATGACCTTTAGGACCCTAGGCTAATATATTTGTTGTCCTCTGGTTGACAATGCACATACATTTCACGCATACAAAGATAGAACAAGTTGCAGGAATAGGAGTTTTGTTCCACTTTCTTCGTAGTTTCTAGAATAATCTAGTAGGCTGCATAATTGTTTAGGGCAGTAATCATCTGATGCTTTGTTATTTTAAATTTCTACATTGGTTATTTTATTTATCAACCATTACTGCTTGATGAAGATAAGCCAGAGTGATTCCACTGATGTCTATTCCTTAACATTTTGTTCAACCTGTTAAGCAACTTTTAGGATTGATTTTGTTAATGATAAGTCTACTGTAGATTATCTTAGAATCACCAAGCTTCCGAGTCCCGGAGGTTCTGTTTTACTTTATCAATCCATGCTTATGGCTAGATGTAATTAATTATTTAAAACACAATGCACTTAATGACCATTTAGTTTTTTGCTGATCTAAAATACTGCTCTCAAAATCCTTTGATATAAGGAAAAAGGTGCATAGAAGATATATGAAATCCTGTGTTTCTAGGATATGCTTTAGATAAGGATAAAACAGAGTTTATACACAATTTTCTTGATGTCTTATAATATATTGTCACTTACTGACTCCAGGGAATGTACAACTACTTCTGGTTCGACAAAGAGTTGAGATGCTTGATGTAATGAATGTTCTTCAATCAGTCTTAATAAGAAACTGAATCAGCAATGTTGAAATGCAGGAATTCGTGAGGGACGTACAAGAACATAGCTGAAATCCAGAATGATACTCTAGAAGGATTAGCAATGAAAATCCACTGCGAAAGCATTTCTGTACGCACAGTACTACATCTAAAAGACTGTTACTCACACCACTGGAATCAGAAGCAGTATATATCTGTTCCTCTGATTAAAACCAAAATGTTCGTTAAACATTTTCTTCAGGGTATTACCAAATTATTTGTAAGATCTGACACGCAGCTTGTTTTGGTGTGGTAGACTTTGAAACATACCGTTATTTGTAACCTGATCTAATGCTTAAATCTAAAGCGACACAAAAGAAGTTTTAACAATGTAGCCGATTCGTTTTGAAACGTCGCTGATATTTAAAGTAATATCAGTTTTGGTAAATACCAATCTGTTGCTTAAAGTCACCAATTTATGCATATGATTCCTTGCTGGTAATTAGTGATTCAAATTAGTGCTTCAGTCTCCTTAGTTAGATGATTTGAGAATATACTGTACTTCATGAAGTACTTTTATTAACGAGTTAGATATTGTACTCAAAAATGATTTTGACTCTCCAGAATCATTATAGTTTAATTGGGTACAAAAATTATTCCCCATAGTAGTTTACAAATAAACATAGAATAATACTTGACATTTAACTGGCAAAAATTAGTGTTTGAGTATTCATTTAGCTGCGAAGTTACTGTTAGCAAAGGAAGTAATCTTCATGAAGTACCATCTTATCCAATTTAACTATACACCTGTTGTCATGGCATTTAATAAAATCAAATTCGCTTATTGTCCAATCACCGAAATAAGGATCATTCTTAGCTTTGATTTTATGGTTAACATCATGGAGTGATCTTATTCAAATATCCATTGAAAACCATGAATTTTGGATATATATTTCTTTTTCACATGAGATCCCTCGGAAGTACTCATTCGTAACCCCAGTAAGGAAAGAATCCATGGACTTTGTTCTTATAGCAGATACTTAATATCTAGAATACTGGGTCTACACACAGTTGTTTACAAGCTTAGCTTCTTTTAATTCACTAAACTGTACAATTATTTTTCAGTACTATCAGTCAGTAATTATCTGAAACTCGAACTAGTAAATCTAGTTATGGCTTCTCACAGGACCTTCTGGAATTACCTCTTGAAGTTGCTCATTAGTTGGCACAAAACTATTTCTACTGTAGAAAGTTTATAGATATTGTTCAACTTTATAATTTATAAGGTAGGCTGAACTTAGTGAAGCCGTGGATATGTACTGCTAAGGGGTCCCATACTAGAACAAAATGACTGTCCAATGCTTTCGGGTTTTCACTGGTTGTTTATCTAAGATTAGTACGCAATGTTAGCTATGAAATTCAACATTCATCATAAATCACTCACAATAATCTTAATTTTAATAGTAATGCAACTGTTGCTATCAGTTAGTCTGTCTTTTTCTTTAATTGGTCAAGTTTATTGATCTAAAACGGAAGAAGTCTACTAATCAACAAGCATCTTATGATTTTACAAACGCCTACATATTAATCTGATAAATATTGCGAAAAATAAATTTTATATATAGATATTTGACCTCCCTCAAATTAAAATCAAGTAATCGTACTTGAGTTTACATTTTGATAAATCATCGATACGAATTTTCTATAAAAATGAAGTAAAATGAATTAAATTGCAGTACTTTTTACTGTTCCGAATTCTGAAACAATCCATTGTATTCGAAGTATTTTTAACAACAAACGGATTTTAATATAATTTTATCAAAAAAGCTTCTCTAAAAGGTTTGAACATTTGATCGGTGTTACATATCACCTTTTAATGTGTGATAACTAGCATGAATATTCAGCAGTTTACTCAGAACTTTGAAAAAATGTATCTGAAATATTAAAAATCAATGTGTTGTGATGATAACATGTATTGATAAGCTGTGTTTACATTTTGCAAACCTACAAGGGATTAGTTTACGTGAACCAGCCATGAGACAAACTAACATTTATTGACAGATGTTTGTTTACTGTGAGTGAGTATGAACACAAGTGAATTAATCTTTATTGAAAGACCTCAGAGAGTATTTCAAGACTGTAGATTACTTGAACAAAATTATTCTTACATTCAAGCATTGAAATGTTTATCATCTAATATAGTCGGTACAATAGTCGGTTATCTTATACCAATTTTCAGTATACCTTGTATCATAATTAATTTATTCATTGCTATCAGTGTGATAATGAAAGGTAGAAAAGCATCACGTCAACTAATTTATGTTTCCGGTATATGCTTATCAAGTGCAATAGCAAATATTCTGTTTGTATGGTTATGGCAATATCCTTCTTATGGTTTACCGTACACAACAAGAGCAACTAAATTCTTTTCATTTCTAAACATCTCCGTTACTGCATGTCGATTTCATCGTTTTGTGTATTCATCGTCAGCAACATTCATGTGTAATATGCGTGTATGCTCTTCATTGGACAGATGTTTGGCTGTATGGATGCCAATTAAGTTGAGAAAATTTCGTCATCATTATGCTTGGTATGTTTATGGAGTTGTCATTTTTATTAGTGCATTATTAATGCTACCATTTGCTACTGAAATTGACTGGATACCAACAAGATTTGGCTTGCAATGTTGGGTTCGGAATTCCAATGCATACATACAAATACATCATTCATTACTTTCTAATTTAGGTCCTGTGCAAACTATGATATTGATAATAATTGATATAACATTTGCCTTCAAATTTCATCAACAATTGAAAAAGCATAAAACAGATGAAATCGATGCAAAAAGTAGTAAACAAATGCATCGTTATTTATTATTGTTTATATCGGCTGTGTCATATAATGTACTTGCTGCAACACAATGTACATTTCTACTACTTGCACGTTTAGGTAGTCTTGGTTTCATTAAATTTGAATCAAGTCTTGCTTACAATATGTCAGATATTTTATGGTACTTAAACTCATTAAGAGAAGTACTTGACTTTGTTATTTATCATAAATGTTTTCGTGTGTTTTATGGTCTCACATCAAGACTATCTAAAATGTTTTATGACAAGTCAAAAAGAACGGTTTCAGGTAGTCGTAGTATCAGTGCAACAGATATTACATCAGGTTATAACTAATAACATAGTTGGTAATATATCTTTGTAATCAAAAAAAACACAATACAGAAAATAGAAACATTTAAAAAAATTTTTATATCCTAGTTATTGTATTAAATTCCTATTCTTTAGACCTATTGAAATAAAAATCTTCAGGTGAACTTTAATAAAATTTAAGATTTCTAACATGTTCTTGAATGTATATTAAATTTTATGCGTATGATTGGTAACACATGATTTGTAAATGAAATTAACTATCTATAATTTTAAGTTAATTGAAAATATATTACTGTGTTTAATTAGCTGTTTTATAAATATCTGGTTAATTTGAGCATGGTATCAACTATGGTTTGATATGAGGTAGGAAAGTTTTGAAAGATCTGATTGTGAATCTTTTATCAATAAACAACACAAACCTTGCTGATACTGAAGTTAATATTAAACCTTGGAATTTCTCTTATAGTATTATGTTGTTGATAAACTGAGCGGAAATATAGTGATCCACACTTCATCTCTACACCTAGCTGGTGACATAGCTTTGAAATCATATAATATCATACATGAGCATAAAATTCTCTCCTAACTTAATGAATTTCACAGCTCTAGCCTCTGTATTCCGCCTATGCTATCAATATAAGATTTAGCCATAATCTCAGTTTGATACATATGACGAAAGAGATCCTGTGTACCACTGAAGGAGAAATAAAGACGATCCAGTAATGAAATTTTTTTCCTATACTATTTGATATGTTTGATCTGTTCAACTGTATTTATAGTTAGTGTGTTTACTTAAAATAGAAATCAGTAATCAACTATTACTGATATAGAATCATTTTAAGTTGTAAAATCAAACAGTTCTTTATTTCATTTCTCGACATTAAGTTTGATATTTAAAACTTCTCAATAATGCTGATCAGATTTTTCACAGTACAAAGACACGATCCATCTTTTAATGAATAACTATTTTAGGTAAACATACTAAATGCAAATATGACTGAACTGATTCTATGAATGAAATCATCGGGAAAAGTTATCATTACCACAATGCCTTTCTCTCTCCGTCTAATCAAGTTTTATCCAAATTTGAGGAACACCGTTTGCGTTTTATAGTAAGATTGATAGTTGTGTGGTGCGAGCTACTTATAAGTAGTATATGACGCGAGTGTAAACGTAATGTCTGGCAGCAGAAGATGGGGGAAGATCAAGAAAGGAAGAATGGGAACACAATGCAATTTGTATGAAACGCATGAACAGTGAAATGTCAGACAATGGATTGATGATTTGCAAATTAACGGTTTACGATATGGTTTTCCTATTTTACTGAGTAACTCTGTAATTATCGTTAAATACAATTCGGTTGCCCTCAACTGTGTTCTCCTTCACTACAGTTGGACATCAGTAGGGTTATTTATAGGTAGTTTATCCGATGAATGATTTTTCAGGTAATAGTAGTTACATGTTTTTAAAAAGTGCTACAATCAGGATCAATGCAAAATCAGGCTCATTCACGTAAGTGTTTCAAGGCGAAGTATGGTTTTAATTCTAGTTTGAAATGTAATCTAGTATTTCATTTATTAATACGATGGCATATATGTATGTTTTACTTATACTGAAACAAAACCAATTCTGAATAAAACTTTCAATCTTTTGCATAAAACTTTCTTCATTCAAGACAGATGTGATCATATCTTTGGTGAGACTTCTTACGAAACTGTTTATTTTGATATCGTAATTAGGAGTGTCCTTTAAATGGTTTCTCTAGATGAAATCAGAATAATAACCTCGATAGCATAATGTGTACTCATTTACTCTTGATCTTCTTACTTGATTTAAATTAATTTTCTAGAAAAAACCATAAGAAAAGATCACTTTTTCCAATAATGATACATTTTATTGAACAGAAACATCTCTACAAGTTATTTCTTTCGAGAAAGATCGATCTATCACCAAATTACGCAAATAATTTTTTTGAAAAAAATGAAAGCTTTTTAAATTATACCTGATTAATCCCGATAATCGCTACCCTTAAATCCTAAGATCCAGCCAGAGAAGTTATTTCATTTAGATTACTTGAATATTGCTTTAGAAAAAAAAGATATATATAAATGCTTAAACTATTAACATGTGGCGAAAGTTTTGAGTTTCATACTTCATTGATTGTGATCGTCACAGTCATTGTTTTCGTCATAATCTTAGCTATTTTTAGTTTGTAACTTTCGCTTCAATAATCTCAAGCTGCGACAAAACCACTTTCAAGTGATCTTTGCTTCTCTAGGTGATATCAGTTTGTGACGAAAAACAATCGTCAAATGTTTCTAGTTGTGTTTCAGAAACACAACTATGAGAAAGTAGCTTATCAATTTTTACCCCTAATTACATGTTTAAGAACAGATGCTAATTAATATGGTATTAATTTTGTTGCCATAAAAGAAATTACGGATTGAACTACCAGAACTGACATTGACCAAAACAAATATAGAGTGTAATGTAAAAATAGAAAATCATGGGCAAGAATGTAATTTGTAACTTTTAGAAAATTTTATTTCTGTTCCACTTATTTTATTGACTATAATTCCGAGCTCTGTTTTTAACATGGATGCCTAACTTGAAAAACGATTCCCTTTTAATGCTTCAGATAGAAATCTGCTTAACTAATGCGTATTAGTCACTGATTAACCGAATTTGAAAATTACTAATGAAAGTAATACTTTTTCTTTAGTTCCTTCCAGCTGTTCTTCTACTTATCCTGCTCCTACTTTCCCCTGTTATTATTCTACGTCTTCTCTTTCTCTTCATCGTCCCTCCTGCTTATTTTACTTTTTCTTATCCTAGCTCTTTTCCAGACTCTCTTTTGATTGTCTTCTCCTCATTCTATTTATTCTCATCAAGCTTTTCCCACTTGAAGCTTCCACTTTTCCTGCTGTATGTTTGTTTTTCTTTTCGAAAAACAATTATGTCTTAGCCCATAACGAATAATGAGAAAGTTAGATTAGACACAATGATCACAGGTTTTTGTTATTTACCTTAAATAAACGAATGACCTTTTATGATATTATGAACATACAGTGCAATGATATTGACTCTATGAAAAAGAAATGAGTCTATGAGCTTTTCACTTATTTTTGATTAATAAAAAAAGTACTACTGAATCAGTTATTTTCAAGTTTCTCAAAACAAAAAAGTCAATGCTGCCTAAAACAAAGAAATTAAAGATTATAGAACTGATTGATTAATTCCCGAAGAAATAACAATCTTAATTTTGCAGTCAGTCAATTTAATCTAACAAAAAACAACCTAGATGAAAACAACACAATTCAACTACACGCCTGTTTCTATGGTAAATGAATATAAATGAATAAAAAAGATTTTTATTCATATAATAAAATAACTCAATACTCATGTTGCATCAATAAGTTTATCATGAAACTTATCTTATTTTGAAAGAGTTCTAATTGATGAAATGGTGATTTTTCGCTTTCCTGTTTATATAATAACTTGAGGATTGGATTTATCGATATTGTTTTTACATTTATTAAGTTTGTTTTATTAAAGAGAAGAAGTTTGACTTTTAAAATATTGATTTTTGAACATGATACAGAAATGCTTACTTCCATTCAGACGGTTATTGAAAAAACAATCTGTTTACAATAAGGAAGCTTCTGGAGGCCATGCGAAGGCTAGATTTATTCCGATTAAGATAAGCATACGATTATTTATTTATTTTCATCAAGCATGTTGCAGATTTATCAACCATCTGCATAAAGACAAAATGGAGAATGAATTTTTCGCCTATGCTATGAGTTAAAAAACATATGCATCAAGATGCTACATAACTACTTATGTTGTTACTAAACATTCAAAAATCACAAATAACTTTTATTTCACGTAAAGTGAATGGTCCCCTTAACAATTTCTAAACTTATAATATTCCCCAAACAATTCTCACTTTTCAATGACAGTTGTCAGTATTCTGCAGTATATACAGAATTGATGCTCCAAAATTGCTATTCAGGTATTTTGTAGACGAAATTCGGGGTAAAATTTCGCTAATATTCTGAATAATAAATGCCGTTATTTAGTGTTACATTCTATGACATATTTGCACATATTTGAAGCTAAGAATATCTTAATTTTCATAAAGTTAATCAATGCTCAAATTGAGAAAAACCATAATTAAGCTGGTGACATGAAGAAATCTCATTCAAGAAAGGATTGTTGTTCAATGAATATCATGGAAAAAGTGAAATTATTATATTTGAAGCAAACGATATATTCAACTGATGACTGACTAGTGTTCAAAGAGGAATCAAATTTTAAATTAGCTTGATCAAATATTGTGAAACTATCATCAAGTGATTCATTCCAAGTAGAGTAGCTATTTTTAATTTGTACTAGACAATGTACACAAAAATTGATACCTAACAAAAGGTTGGTGCCTAGAAAAGCTGTTTTATTTTTCAACTTTTTTTTCATCTTAACAACTATAAAGAAGAAAGTGAATTTTCTTCTATTCTTGAAAATTTAAGTCAAACTGTACATTGACATTACTTTCAGTATTTTTTTAAAATTATCATTTCAGTTATCAATAAAATTCTCCAGTATACTCTGTTGATTGTATTACACATTAATTTCAATTTCTAAACTATTTACTATTCTGTTTATGTACAATGTTTTTTTCCACGAAGACATTTGTTTGTTGAAAAAATTAGTTTGATTATTACCAACTAGCATTATTATGTATCATTGAAAATGATCACAAATATTTTATCAATTAATAACATACTATTTTATTAACAAATATTGTTACTTCTGTATGTCAATAGAATAACTACGTAGATGAATATGAATTCATCTTTCTTCGATCTATAGATTGTATTAAGCAATGGAAGTGTATTCTGGTATATATCAATAGAAAACAAAATGACATTTTGCAATAGTACTTATGAGTAGTATATATCTTATAAGTAATTTTTTTCATGACAGTTAAAAATGATTTTACCATAAATTAAATTTGTCCATAT